TTCTTTACTCTCAGGTGCACACAGTGCTACAACTACACAAATTTTAGTAAGATCCAATTGGTATTTATTAATTTTGTCAAATAATTTGTAATTGAAAATTTTCACTGAAAAATTTATGATTCAGCCGAACGCGGTGGTGTCTGTATGAGAACGAACAATAGTTTGGGAGTTAAACGAGCTGTCCGAGCAAAAACCGCCGCCCCCACAAGCGCTGCACAAGAACTGAATAACCAGAAAAAGGAGAAATGGAAGTGGAGTAACATCCGTTGACAGCAATGGCAGCAGTGTAAGCTGTGTTAAATATCATTTACTCTGCGCGATAAGCTTTGTTTAGCTGGCGCTACATGTCCGCGATGGCACTAAACAACGCCGGAAGCTTCCATATACGGTAACTTGCCGCTGCTTGCTTTCCTTTTCAACTTAATTCTGAGAATTTGTGGGTATAAGCAGGTTTGTGTTGGTTTTTGGTTTGTTTGGTGAAGCGCCAACAGCCACAGCTACAAAAACCTGATAATGTTCTCCGAATTTGGATATACGGTGTCATTGAACTAAATCACTTAATTATTTTGGCACATGTTATTGCCGTTCTCCAAAATATTTGGAATTGGACTGCCTATGTGACGATTTCAAGCGGAAGCCACTAGCACAGAAGCAAAACTGCTAATGATGTCGCTTTTTTGGAAATTACGAACATTAAAAAGCAAATTTGAAAAATTTATGTGAGGCTGGTTTCAAGCTTCATAGTTGGACAAATAAGAACTACGGCCGCTGTAGCCGAGTGGTTAGAGGTGCGTTTTATTACTCCAAAGGACCTGGGGTTGAGCCCTGGTCAAAGCAATATCGATAAAAAAAATATTGAATAAAGCGTTTTTTTTTTTATTAACAGTGGTCACCCCTCTGCTGGCAATGGCAAACCACCGAGTGTATTTCCGCCATGAAAAAGCTTCTAATAAGATCCATTTTCCGTTCGGAGGCGGCGTAAAACTGTAGGTCACCCCATTTGTGCAACAACATCAAGACGCACACCACAAATTGGAAGAGAAACTCGGCCAAACACTTAGCAAAAGTGTAAATGCCAAAATATTATATCGGCTAGCAAAAAGGCGCGCTTGGTTCACACTGTCATCGAAACAAAATGTGAATAAAATTATAATTTAAAAAACTAAGACCTCGCGATTATAATTTCCATTCGTACTGTAATCAGGTATGTAACTTGAGAATAGAAATCGCTACATCTTTTAGGCACATCAATATTACATAGTTGCATCCCGAGCTAATAAAAGGGTGGTAATAAAAATAATTGCAACGCGCTCCACTGGAACAGTTAACGAACAACAGCTTGTTTCAGCGATAACCAGCGAATGTTTGACAATCGAAAAATTTTATGATTCTTAACACCAACGTAGTTATGAAACTCGGCAAATTCATCCACCCTTTAAGCACTATGTGCGAAGAGATTGCTAACATCTCTGGTAAGTTTTTCGACTTCTATGGCAATTTTTTTACCTGATGGGAACAATATCAAAATTTAAAAAGAAGTGTCCCCACTTGGAGCAAAACGGTCACACTGGTTGCTGGGTCCCTCAACGCATGGCACGGTGCAGCGAACAAAGGTGGCGCCGTCAGTGGTACCGCTACTTTGGTTTTGCCGATTTTGACAGTTGTGGTAACTTGTAAATAAACCTTTGTTTACAAATCAGCGAAAGAGAAATTTGAATTATAAGTGAAAAAATCAGTTTAAATCGTGTTAATTTGCAATTTTTGAGTGATTTTTGAGTTGAGGACTGCGTAAAAACTAATACAATGAAGTGCTGTGCAGGGATGCCGTTTGGATCTAAAGAGATCTAATTGGAAACATTTTTAGACGAATTTTTGCGGGAAATTTTTTTTTCCGGTCAGTGTAAATGTGGATACTTTTTTAAATAGGCCAAAATTTTATATTTCCTATAAAGTTTTTTTCGTTCAAAAATTGATTTTCATTAAAGATGGTAGAAAGCATTACGTTTTCTAAACGTATAAAGAATCGCTACTTAAGCGTGAAATTAAAGCATTTTATTGTGAACGAAGCAATGAACATATGAAGAGATCTCACAACAATAGGTATAAGCGCAATTACTTTAATTAGCTTAAAAGGATGCTTTAAGCAAGATCTTAATATACATATCGTCGTTTAAAGTACAAAGCCGCGAATCAACAAAATGCAAAACCGCGTATCAAGATAATGCAAAACCGCGTATGTG